GAGTTCTTCTGTCGTACTGCTTCAGCTATTCGAGCAGTTCTATATTCTTGCCATCATAGATGCTTAATTCTATACTGCCTTAAGATTTTTTTCTAACTTTCTTAATAATATTTTTATTGAGTTCAGACCTTAACTGCACATATCCTAATAATCCTGATAATTGCAATAAAATGTCATATAATCGGTTTTTTAACAATTGACACCAGTACATATGAAAATTTGTCATCTAAGCAGTTTGGGTAAAACTGTCGTGATCCTTTTTACGGACAGCCTTGCATGGGTACACAAATATTGGTATGTTACATAGATATATTCATAAAATAAAGTGCATATCTTATGTGTGACCTATAAAATATTATTTGTAAGACAAATAAAGAAACTCAGAGCTCGGGGATATTGAAATTGCATGCATTGTGTCTTCATTTGTGCATACTTTTCTTCCATTGTCTACTTTATTGTATTACGTTCGGAATGCAGGAACTCAGAAATTCAGGAATTCAGCCAACAACTACTTAACAAAGTAAAGGCTTTTATGTTAAGAAAGTTACACGCATACGAACTAAAAGGGAAAAATTATCTCCGAAAGAAAAACTGTTAACAATTCTTTTTTTATTTATATACTTGTATATTGTTTTTATTATTTATTTCTTATTTTTTATTTTTCTTTTTTATTTTTCTTATTTATTTCTTATATTTTTATCAAGAAGCGTGTGTATTTATTTGTAGTTACTCTGCTTAAAATAATAAACACGTTTTATAGTCCAAGGGTGCCCTTTCTCATTGAATTGCTAATAAAATGTTGAAATTGCTTACTTGCTGTTGGCAGTAAGTGAAGTCTTCGTCTTTCTTAAGGGCATAAATAAAGATTCCCAATGAATTAACATAAAGCTCACATAGAGCTGCTATCTTTTCTTGTTTAACTTTTGTGATCCAAAATCAATAATTTTGCAATAAACACAAAAAACAAAAAAACAAAAAAACAACAATACAAAAAAGATGAGATTAAACAAAAAAGGCAAAAAAAAAAAACATCAAAAACGAAACAAACAATTTGTAGTAGTAACTTTAGTAGAGCATGAGGCATCATTATCTTCATCAGCTCCTCCATGTCAAGCAGTCATTTCAGCTTTTATATTTGTGCCCTCTTCTGGTTCGCCTCTATTATTAGTGCCGCAATTAAATGTAAATGAGCCCAAAATGCTTAATCGAGATCGAACGAATGAAGGCGCTACAAATTGTTTACACAAGCAAAAAATATTTATGCATCTTTATTTATTATTATTTATTGCCTTGCTTATATTTGACTATTTATTGTTATTAATATTGTTTGTTCAAATTGTTCATTTTAAATACTCCATACCAATGTTAATATGGCTCAAATGGTTCGATTTGCTTTCAGTTTACTTCGGCTCTTTTCATGGCAAATTAATATTTCTTTTTTTTTCATATTTATTTGTTTTCGATATTCGATTTTTGTTTATTTTCATCATTGGTGTTGGGTTCGTGTATTATGCAATATTCATACGTACAAAAACAATAAGCACTTCACCTCGATTTACACGATTTAAGCTTGAACAGTTGCGAGCATCATAAACACTTATTTTGGCCAACTTCATTTATAATACTTGTATCAACATTACACTTCACTGGTGACAGCAAAATACTTTAGCACAAAAACCGCTGCAACTGCAACATCAGCACAACAACAACAGCAGCAGCAGCAGTTTTGTAATGCAATGTATTTCCTCATATATTGACACATAGACACACACATAGATACATACATACACGCTTACTTATGAGATTTACTTTCGCAAACATATGCACTTAAATGTCAATAAAGCTTGGCTATAATGCATCTGCCATAATGATGATGGTTCAAAACATATTTATCAAGTATTTTGAGTTGTGACATATAGCAAAAATGAAGTAAACAACAACATACAGACAGGTTATCTGAAAACGAAATTTATTAAAATAGATACCCCCGTATCTATGTAATGTTGCTGTATTTTTAATTAAAAAAAACCGTGTGTACTATGTCGGTTGCTACTTTACAGTCTTTTATAATATAAACATTTATCAAAGTTCAAACAATTTTTTTTAAGAAAAAGTTTAACGACCTTCTAAGTGGTTTAGTTATATTTCTGTGATATGATAAAAATTTAAAAATAATTAATTATAAAATATTTATAAATGTGTAGAAGTATATAAATAATGTATTCTCGTTATGAGAATAAAAAAAAATTTAATTTTATATTACAATTAAAAAACAAATTATTTGATTAATACCAGTGCAAACTCATTTCACAGAAGACACAACTCATTTAGATCCTTTCTGCGAAGTGAGCGCAGTATACCCTAGCTAGAGCATTTAAAAGAAATTAGGTAAAAATGCCATTATTTAAACACTGTCTTTTTGCTAAAACGACTAATACTTATTGATTTTTGCATATTGAATTATTTATTGACATCGGACTAACACGTGAAAAGGAAGGATCTAGAAGGATATAAGAATTTTAGAAAATATAAGTTAAAATATATGAAAGTTAAAAATATGTTAGGAAAAGATTTGAGAGTAGATATTGCATTTGAGCTAATACCAAGTATTAACAGAAGTTAGAAATCGTGAATATTAATATTATATAAAATCACAGTAACTTCATATAAACAATATAAAATATAAAAGTATTAATTAAAATAGCACGATGGCCGAAAATAATTAATAACAATTGTAAACAAAGTTGCCGGTTCAACTGCAAAAATTAATGACGTCACACGAACGTTAAGAAAACATCCCAGTTAACTAGAAAATTTTTGGTCTTAATTTAATTGTCAGTATATGTTTAAGATTAATGAGTTTAGCATTGATTATATTACATTTTCTATAAAATTTTTGCTAAAACTAAAAGTCAGTCGATTTTCTAATGTGGTTGTCTGAATGTCAGGACACCTGCTAAGTAGGAAGAAATAGAAGTATTTAATAAAAAGGTTTTTTAAATAGCAGTGAAATATAAAAAATATTGCCAAAAAATTATAATTAAAAATTATTACCATTGATTATGTTATGGTTATTTGCCCATAACTGACCATACTAGCTGTAACATATGGTCAAGTGAAAAAATCAATTAATTAAAAATAAAAATGTTGTTGTTGTAATTTATTATTGTTCAATTAAAAAATAGTTTCTATTAAAAAAATAGTATCTTTCCTTAAAATTAACTTTAAAAATCCAGTTATTTCACTTAGTATTCACAAATGACTACAATGCATTCAGAGGCTTCATACCCATTTATGAAGCTATAACTTTTGTTATTTGTTGAAAATTATGCTTCACAAGTATTATGTTAAGAAAAAAAATAAAACTTACGAAAACTTGCTTCAAAGTAATTCTAGTAAAAATATGTATTTTACTTAATTTTTAATAATCAATCAACTTTCAATTCAGTGTAACCTACACACAGGTTGAAGTTTAACTATCATACATATCTGATCAAAATGTAGACACAGTCTTATGCTTTCAGTTCTTGAGAAATAAAATTTTTGGGTAACTATGTACGCTAAATAGTGAGCAAAATAGTAATGCCTGATGCAGCTCTGTGTACAGCAGACAGGCTATACCTATGTAGCAGCAATATAAGCGATTCAATTTCTATTTTTTACTTTTAATTTGGTTTTACCTTTAAATTGTACTTCAAAGTCGAAATTTTAAGGATGACAATATTTTTAGGTGTAATAATAAACTAAAAATATTCGTTGCATATTCGTCGCTGTTGATATAGTGTTCACGAAATTATCTCTTAAGTTAACTTTAAGTTTTTAGCATTTACAGCGAGTTATGGTCATTTAAAAATTAATCTTAAATTCAATTTTTCGAAATTTCAAGGCCCTTGTATTTCTTAGGAAAAACAAAATTCTTCCGAAATTTGGATTTTTTTATATTTGTAGAGGTGCTCAAAATCTTTATTTTAGTTAAATTAGAGGTTATAAAGTCAGTTTTAATCAAAATCCATCCCGTTTATAAAACAATAACCCATATATACAAAAAGTAGAAAGTTGGTTAAGCTGATATATTTGGGAATCATGATATATTGATATATTGAGAACTCATGTCGTTGTAGTGTAAAAGAAAGTGCAATACATCTACTATATAAGTGAACCACTTATGTATATAACATTAATAACGTTAAACATATACAAATATATATATCTCCATTAGAAGTTGTGGTCAAAAAGTTTTTCTATAACTTATATTTTAGAATTTTATTAACAGCATTTATAGAAAGATATTTAGATTACTGACAATTAAATTAGATTTCTTGTAGTTTAACATTTTTAGTTTTAAATTTTTTTATAAGAAGGATTTAGAATTATTGAGAAAACGTGCAGTTTATAACAATTCCTTTACTTTATTCTTTTTTTTTCATTCTTTTGTTTTATATTTATTTCTTTGCTTGTAGTTCTCGAATAATTTTTTTCTAATATTTTAAGATATTAAACTATTAAAATAATTTGAGAAGGATTTTTTTTTATGACTTTAATCTCATTTTATAAAACATTTTTTTATTGCTGAGACATAAAGCACTTGAGAAATCGTTAAGTTTTATGTGATATATTTTGTTATGTTGTTATGTTCATATTTTTTTATATTTTGCTTTTTGCCAATTGCCACTATATGACTTTTGGCAACTACTTAAAAATGTCAGTCACAACTCAAAATACTTCATTTCTAATGGTACAGTCATTATCTTACTAACGTGCTTCAAACGTGCTTAAATGTTTTTGTCAAGAATTCGTGCTTAAACGCAAATCCTTCGTTCTCGTTTTTATTTCTTCCTATACTCCTGCAACATCTTACATCTTTACTATCGTCACCAACGCCAACATCGTCTCCAACAACAAAACCGATGACTACTTTCAACAAACAAAACTACAACATCAACTGGCAACTGGCAACTTCCACCAACACGTCACATATATACGTCAATCACTTTAAATAGGAGCAACAGCAAAATGATGCGGCACTGCAGCCAGTTTCAGAGGAGCCCATTAAGTTAGTGCATGTGCTCAATCCAGGTGAACGAGAATATCTGTCGCCGAATCTGATTGGTGTGCAAAATATAGCAATGACATTTATGCCGCTGACGATGAACTTTATTAATATTATTGATGCTTTCCGAGAGATTGTGAATGGCGTTCGATATGAGATACTATTGAATGCGAATGATACTAAAAATAATGATGTCGAAACCATCTGTCGCTTGGTCATACTTGAAAAGCCATGGCTACGTACTGAATGGGGTGATAAATACCGCGAATTACAACATTCCAATTGCAGTAGCGATGCAGATAATTTAGCTGATTCAAATGCTCATACCAATGAATTGAATGATAAATATAAAACTAACCCAACATTTAATGGTGCCTTAAGAAATGAGGTTTCCGATGATGAAATGGCTAAATTGGAAGCACAAATTATGTCATATAATTCTGATGTTAAACGACGTGCCAGCACAACTACTACTAGGCGTACCACCGTAACAACAAAAAGTGTAGTAGTCGACAGTAATGAAGCAGTCACACCTGTGGAAGATAATGAATCTGAAACCACTTTACCGCCTGAATTAAATGCAGATGAGAAGAAATTATTAGACGATATATTCTCAATTGGTGCGTTGAATTTTGAACAATCACGTCGCAATAATAGAAACGATGCAGCAGAAGCAGCAACAGCTGATAATAATGAGGAAAGTGATTATCCACAGCGTACCGCACACGTAGAACAATTAGAAGAACCGCAGCGTTAGTGACAACGCATTGCAATGCACCGCATCACAAATAATCCACCCATCCACCACAAACCCATTAAAGCGTATTTAAATTTTAATGTGTAATGTTTTTAACAATTAAGCACTGTCAGAATAACGAAACTGTTAACTGCAGCGGTTGTCGGCGAAATCAAATTTTATTTAAACAAACGTCTACGTCTCTTGTCAATATATTTAAAGTGTTCTTGTTAATAAATTTTAATTTAATTTAATTTTATTTTAATATTATTTGTGTTGTTTTATTTCGCTTTGGTTATTGTTATTGTTGTTCTATCAAAATAATCATTATCCTTGCATATCCTTGTGTCGGTAGTCTATTCAAAATGCACAAACATTTATTTTGCACTCACCATTTGTAGACATTGTCGGATTTTTAATTATAGAATTCATGTTATTCTGGCAAAATGTTACATTTGTTACATTTTCCCCAATGGGCTCCGCCTATTGTGTGTCAGTTCTCTTAATTGCCACATAATTTTTTTCCAACTTACCGCCTTCCACAACATTTCAAATGGTGTTGCTGATTTAATTAAAATTGATTTTTATTTTGCAGTGATTCTTAAACTTAAAATAATATTAAAAGAGGAAGAAATATGTGCAAAAATGTATGCCATATGTATGTCTGTATGTTTTATAATTGTGATACTACATTACAAACAGACAAAGCTTTTAGAAAAATGAGATCTCCTTTTTTTTTAAATGTAATTCAGTTATATAAAATTGCATTAAATGATATACATATACAGATGACAGTGCAATGTTCTCTTAGAATGCACAGAAAAACAGAACGGAATTTAAGATTTAAACATTAAACTATGTTGTAAAAATCTTGTACTTAACAGTGAAGGTTTCTTTTTATTGTATATAATACACCTAGGAATACTGCAATAAAAACAACTAATACATGACCCAAGAAATTAAACAGGAAGTTTATATCCTTTAATGAAGTTAAAAACCTTTACTCAGCATATTCTTGTTAACAAATTCGATACCTTCTGCTGAAAACATGGCATTCGTAAATAAAGAAGGATAAAGCTTTTACATGTATACATGTATCTGTTTGAAGTGTTAAGAATATATACTTGTATATATACGTATATCTGATAAACCTATATTTTTTCAGATGACATCTAAATTATAAATTGATAAATTTATTTGTATATTATATATACAAAATAATATATAGTATTATATATTATTATTATAATAAAGTATAATATTATATATTATTACTATTATTATAATATATATATATATAAAGTATGATTTGTAAAATAATGTTTTAAGGAATGTCAGAATTCATTAAGTGTTTGGCTTAAAGTAATCCAAATTATATTAATCAATAATTAATTGGTTTCGTTTTTGAGCTCTCAATGAATTTTTTCATATTTAGTTTGGATAATCCACAAAAATATTAAAGTTGCATTACATTTTTGCTTGCTTTTCGTTTTATAAAACGAATAAGGATAAGGAAACAGATAAAGGTATATATTATACAATTAAAAGAAACCAAATTTCGATACCATATAATCTAATGCAGAACTGTCCAATGTGCGACCCGCGACATGTCTACTATAATCTACTACAATTACGCAAATTTTCTTTTAGTGTACTGGTAAAACCTCATTATTTTATTTTTTTGGTATACCAAATAAATAAATATAATTAATGAATTAGTAAAACTAAATTTAACATTATAACCGTATTTTTATTTTTCTTAAAAATAACTATGAATTAAGTATTTGCTTCTCCGTCACTCCAATCTGTAAAGTGATTTGTATTGGCCCGCGCTCGCATCTGGCAGTCTGATCTAATGCAAAGACATGTCTTTTCTCTACCTTAAACGTTAAAGAATTCACATTTAAAATATTAGATAATATTACCATGGATACAGAATATGGTATGATTTCATAACAGGCAAAGGTATAAATAGTTAAATCGTGCGTTGGACATATACCTATATATTAAAATGCGAATTTTCAAACCGCTTTTGGTTTGTGTAGATCCAAGAAAAAAATGGTAGTTATGTCCTTTAATCATTTTTGAATATTTTCTTCTACTTTTAACAGATTTGTTCGCTACATTTTTGAAGGTATATAAGAAGTAGTGGTAGAGAGTACTGTGCTAAGGCATTTATAGACATCTTCCTACGCATAAAATTGTAGACATCTTTTAAATTTTAATTAAACTAACTTAAGAATAGCCTTTTTCCCAATATAGAATATAATTAAGAGTTTTTAATTTTTTATTTAGTTAATAATTTTCCTTGAATAAAATAAAATTTCAATAAAAAATTATAAATCTAAGAAAAAGTTTGAGAACCGCTGCGGCTTTGTTCAACGATTTGTACCCCGTATCGTATGAGTAACATGAAAATCCGCACACGTTTACGCTCATAAAAACTCAAGTTCACACAAATTACTAAACTTTGCTGCTATTGTTTTATTTTAAAATTGTCAAAATACTCGAAAATTCCATATTATTTCTAACTTTAATTTGCACACATATTGCGAGCGCACACACAATACTTTGTTTATTTCTGCACTATTTGGTCCTGTGAATATCTTATTTGTCCTTTGTGATTTACGACATTGTCTATAATTTTCAAAACTTCTGTTTTCATTAAAAATACTCTACTCTATGTCTCTAACCCTTTACCATCTGATGTTAGATATTTGTGTTTTTGAATTTTATTTTTATTTTTATTTTTATTTATTTTTATTTATATGAAAAGTGTGTGTAATTTAATAATGTGGTTAGATAGATATGCATATGTAGACGCAAAAGTAAATATTTGCCATAAATTTCTATTATAATATAATTTTCTTTATTGGTTTAACTTACAAAATATCTGCAATATTGGTTTTATTTATTCGAAATTAAATTTTATTCACATGAAGTGTGTATGATTTGTATATATTGTTTTTGAATATTAAATTGGAGAAATAAAAGATGAATTACAAATATCTATATTAATAAAATTATACAATAATTTAGATTAATCATCGCATTTGAGATATATTGATATTATTTATAAATTATATCTGCTATAAAATTCATCAATTCTAGTATTTAATGGAAAACAAATTAGCAAGAATTTATAATATATAACTTGACTAATATATACATACTGTAGTGAGGCCAGGATTCAACTAGGATCGTTGCGTCATTAATGATGATGAATATATACTCTACCTTCAGCTCAAAAAGTACTCGGATTTTGTAAATAAAACACACAAATTTAAATTTTATTCCAAATTTATTTTATCCCCTTCAAAATATGCTCCTTCTGCAGCGATACCCATATGCCAACGCTTAACCCAATCTTCCATACACTTTTCGTAGGCCCGTGTAGTTATGGCTTTTAGTTCCTTCGGCGAATTCTCTTTTACCGATTCAATCGAATCAAAACGCTTACCACGAAGGAGCAATTTGAGTTTCGGGAACAGGAAAAAGTTGCACGGATCCTGATCTGGCGAATATAATGCCAGAGCGATGACAGTGTTGCCGTGTTTAAAGAAACTAATTGACAGATGACGCTCAAATTTGGACCATATGTCAAGAAAGGGTGACCAACATAACAAAAAAAAAGGTCTATTACTTAAGGAGTAGTTAACAAACAACCAAATCCGGATACTTTTTGAGCAGAAGCTATATTAGAATTAATATACGTGATTTACTTAAAACAAAAAAAATCTTTTCATATGCATCCAAAATATATTAATATTCATTTCCATGTATTTAATAAGTAATATTTGTCAGAATATTTCTATTAAGAAAAATTAAATTAACAACTGTGAAAATGTATTATTGGAATACATATCAAGTATTTAAGCTGGGGGCATATATCCCTAATCAACTATAACCCCCGTTCTCCTCAAAAATATGGCAAGTAATATTGCGTAATCAAAAAAGGTATCTCAGGTTAGATTAGCTTTTTACAATTATTTCAATAGAATGAAGTTTGTTTGAATTAAATTCTTCTTCTTCTTCGCTTTTTAAATATACTTTTCTTTTATTCGTTTTTTCATCTATAGCTATATTCATTTATTCGTACTGTCTCTATGATCCCATGAATTTTACTTTCATTATTTTAGTGCAATTCTGTCTTCTTTTGTGTACTAATAAGTTACTGTCTAGAATTTTAAAGTGCATAATTTTATAATTTATAAATTTCATAATTACTATTGTAAAAGATTTATTAAAAGTTTGAATTTCTTTCACAGAGCATAGAACCGCTACTCATTATCTTACAAAAGTTGAGACGTCTTAATTTATTAAAAGACAGATTCAAATGAATAAGTAATCGTGCAAAGTCGAAAATAATATTTGTAATATGCGTGTAGCTTATAATATTAATAGTAGTATAGTAGGCATATAAAAATTTACACTTATTCTAATTACGTACATATGGTATAACATATTAGAATTGCAAAACCACAACTCCTTCTAAGATTAATATCATACATTATTAGAACATAATGCTTAGTATATACAAAAAGGAAAGATCTACTATTAGTTGTGTATTTATTCATACACACTATTTTTTTTCTAGTCCATGATGGCATTCAGCATTGTTATTAAAATTTATTAAAAAATTTATTAAGTTATTAAAATAAAACGAATAATAGAATATTAGACTATTCACACGACATGAGTTTGAGTACACGAACTGCTTGATTAGAACGAGTGTTACTTTTGTTCACGTGTTTGTGGTTTTCAAATTGATTTACAGTAATCGTTTCTAAACTTGATTTAAAAAAAATAGAATTTTATGATATTACAAATTACCTAAAAGTGACTAGCTTTGCCTAAAATTAGTTTCAGTTTCCTTTATTCCATGATTTTGTTACTTTCTATGGATGATTCAATCATTTAATAAACTCAACCGAATGGCTGAATTTATGTCCGCTTAAAAACCGGTTCCAAAAATATTTTAGTATCAAAGTGCACTACTTTGATTTGATGTAAATAAAACTTATAATGACTTAAAGCATTTACAATTGAAAGTTATCGATATTATTATTTTTGAAACTCATCAAATAAATAAAAACAATTTAGTCATCATATTATGATAATTTAAAAATATAATAAAATTACTCTTTTTTACTTTTGCTGTGTAATCACAATTGTATTAAATAATTTATGATTCGAGGTCTTGCCTGATCCAAAACCAAATATGACATTTTTCATCGGTGAAGTCATACCATTCGACAAAGAACACGCTTTTGACATACTTGAAAGAGCTTTAGAGACATTTTCTGTTAATAATGGACCATATTACAAGTAAGTACTAATAAGATTAAAACATTTAAGTTATTATTCTAAGATATGTGCATATTGTTTACTAATAGAATAGTTAAAGTGTACAATGCAACACGTCAAGAAGCAGCCGGTACAATAACAAAACTAGATGTAGATCTTATCGATAGAAATAATTTCACAGAACGTTGCAAAGTTATGGTTTGGAAACAACCTTGGGAACGACAATGTTATGAGGTTACTTTTAAATGTCCAAGTAAAGGAATTGAAAAGAACCGACATAGTCGTTCCATCGAATATGCACAGAAGAAAACACACAAAAAACACGATCATCACAGCTTAAATAAAGTTGAGCATTTATTCAATAAATTTCAACTTAAATATAATCGACGATATGCACACAGCATGGAAAGACAAATGCGTCTAAGAATTTTTAAACAAAATTTAAAAACCATTGAGGATTTAAATCGTAATGAAATGGGTAAGTATATTAATGAAAGTATTATATTTATTTCTTCAATTCAATTTCCCTTTACTGATAATAGGTAGTGCTAAGTATGGTATTACTGAATTTGCTGACATGACAAGTGCTGAATATAGAGATCGCACTGGTTTGTGGGAACGTGATGCTAACAAACCTACAGGCAATGAAGGTGCTGCTATACCTGATATTGAATTGCCAAAAGAATTCGATTGGAGAAGTAAAGGTGTAGTTTCAAAGGTATAGATATTAATAGTAATCGTTTAAAGAACAATATTAATGTTTATATATACAGGTTAAAAATCAAGGTAGTTGCGGTTCCTGTTGGGCTTTCAGCGTTACTGGTAACATTGAAGGCTTACATGCAGTTAAAACAGGAAAACTGGAAGAATATTCAGAACAGGAATTATTAGATTGTGATACAATTGATTCTGCATGTGGCGGTGGCTTGCCAGATAATGCCTACAAGTAAGTTCTTTAAGACTGTCAGCATTTGCAATGAATGCATGAAGCAATTCATTTAAAAATTAGATCTACAAAAAATAAATACAAATCTTTCTTTCTCTTTGTACATTCTTGTGAATCTTTCCTATTCTCGCTGTAAAAGTTCTTTTTGGATTATATGTATAATCAGAAACGCAAGAAAAAATGGCACAATATCCTAAGTACTGCTTTAATTCTTGCGTATGTTAGATCATACCATATTATAATATATATATATCTGTAGCTAGAGATAAGTAAATGTAAAGCTTTGAACTAATTACGTGATAAGTTTTTACAACATAAGTTTTCTACTATTGGTTCAAAATTATACTATCAATATACGGCACTTATAGAGAATAGGAAATATATAAAACCCATCATTGCAAAGGATGAATTTCTTCTTCATTCACACAACTTCTTCAAAATTTTTAAATACCAAGCATCATGTGTATGACAATTTCGGAAATATTACACTTTGTTTCCCGTAATTACAGTAGTTCTACCCAAATGACGAGAGAATTCATCACTCTTATCGGAGACCATTTGGATGTCAACTCCTTTAATTAATAAGTGATAAACATTTTTGTCAAAATTAACCTTTTATTTTATTTTTTACGTCTAATTTTCAATTAAAATAATAATCATGTTTCCCGTATTCGGAGGCCACATCTTCATTAAGAAGCACTGTCTTAAAGCAGTTGTTGTTGTACCCGCAGGGATCTGTAAAGCAAATAACATAAAAAAAATTACACAACAAATACATAGATTAGAATATGTATTGGTTGTGCGAGCGCAGATAGGATTATAAGAACGTCAAGCAGAATTAAGGCGAAGAAACTTACCCACCTTTATTTGGGGGTAAAACTGCATTTGGGTGAAAAGTAACTGTTGAGCAAATGGCTATATTCTAATCTCAATTGAGTTAGTGCAGTTCTTGCTGTAACGCCGTCTTTCATACTGAGAAATGCTAGGTAAAGGTGTATTAAAAACTTTATGACACTGCAACCTCGGTGTTGAAGACGATACTACATTTATTAGGGAGGGGTGTAAGTTCAAATTCATATTCGACCTCACTGATTTTAGTTCTGTTGCAATAGTTGTCGATATATTTATTGTAATGAGAAAGGGATTGATGGGTACATCTTGGAGGACTCTAATGTACATGAGACCATTGGGATTTCCATCCGTGTAGTTCACATCTGATTAGAGCATCTGAAAAAGAAAACAGCAAATCAACAGAATGAACGAGAATAGATGTTAAACTTAAGTGACTGCCCAAACATATAATATGTGTATTACAATTTTAGAGCTATTAAACAAATTGGTGGATTGGAAACTGAAGCCGATTATCCATACGACGCACGTAAGGAACATTGCCACTTTGATGCATCTAAGGTTCATGTTAAAATTTCTGGAGCTGTTGACTTACCGAAGAACGAAACTGCCATGGCACAGTGGCTTATTGCTAATGGTCCCATTTCTATCGGTAAGAATAAATCCAATACACATGCTGCTATTGTGTAATTATATTATCGTATTATATTACTATTTATATATACTATATATAGCAAAAAATTGTTTATATATCCTAGTACCCAAACTTGTAATAATATTTTATTAACGTTTTAGGTATTAATGCTAATGCTATGCAATTCTATCGTGGAGGAGTTTCTCATCCATGGCATCCACTTTGTTCACGTAACAATCTTGATCATGGCGTGCTTATTGTTGGCTATGGTGTTTCTGATTATCCAATGTTCAAAAAGACATTACCTTACTGGATTGTGAAAAATTCTTGGGGTACAAAATGGGGTGAACAGGGATATTACCGTGTCTATCGTGGTGATAACACATGTGGCGTTAGTGAAATGGCTACCTCAGCTATACTAGCCGATAATTAAATTTATTTTACAAAGAAAATAATGTTTTTAAAAGTCAACAGCACAAGCCAAATGTGTTAAGATAAATGAAATTACAATTAAAATTTCACAAATAATTATAACAGCAAATACAATAATTAGTATGTAGTGTGTATGTACGTCTCTGTAGTGTTGTATTTAATATACATTATATAATATATAAAATAATATATACATATTTCCAATAGAATATAATCAATTAAGTTACTTGCATTAATCTTGTAACAGACAAAAATAAAGATTGTTTATTACTTTTCTATTGTTTACATTTTAAACTCTTTTTATTGTTTTTATACATAATTGCTTTAAAATATATAAATAAACAGTTAGAAATATTTAAATAAAAACTTGACATATTTTTAATTTTCATATTCACTTAACTTTGTTAATAATACACGCAGTTTACGTGCCTCTAAACCTATGGTCAATGGTTCAGTTGGTACTTCATCCGTTGCAGCATAAATGTTGGCTGGTGTAAACAGACCGTTCACTAGAAAAATGAGTTATATTAAATTAAGTTTTTTTATAGTTTTTCTTTATAGAAAGGGTTCAACAACAATATATTACAACATTCTATTGTTTGAATTTATTAATTTATCATTTAACAGAGTATTAAGAAATACCATCAGTTATCTTTAAAAATAATTTTTTTTTTATTTATTATTCCATGTTGACGCGAAATATTAAATCACCATTATATATTCCATTTATTGTTATAAATAGATTTGTTAATTAATGAATTTCCTTAATATTGGTTATATATATACAGTGACTTCATCGCATAATCGGACAAGCATTTGTTCGATAATTTAAAGTAAAAAACAGAACCAACACAATTTTTTGGGCTCAACGTATAATCGGACAAAATTAAACATACATGTTAAAAATGCAGAAATGTGGCATTTAATATTTTGTTGCATATCCTTTGTTATCCAGAACGGCCTGAATACGATTTGGAACTGATTTTACCAATTTTTGGCACACTTCTGGCTCAATAGAGTACCACGCTTCGAGTAAAGCCTCCTTTAGCTGTACTATAGTGTTAAATTTTTTTTGGTATACTCTCCTAGCTAATTCCTCCCAAAGATGGTCAATTACATTAAGGTCTAGGCTCTATGCAAGTGCGTCTATGAGTTTGGGGCAGTTATGGATCAACCAAAGCTTTGCTACGCCTGACGTATGCTTGAGATCATTGTCCTGATAAAAATTAAAATTTTCTGCGATACTCAATTTCTCTGCACTTTGCTTTATATTCTGTTTCAGAATGTCGAGGTATTCAGATTTGCCCATTTTACTATCTATAAAATGGAAATTACCCACTCCCGCACTCGACATACAACCCCACACTATAACAGAGCCTCCTGCATGTTTTATAGTGATTTTTGTATTGTGATGATTGAATTCTGCATTTGGTTTACGCCATATAAACATCTTACCATCAGATCTATTTAGATTAAATTTACTTTCATCAGTGAACAAAACCTTAAAAAAATGAAAATTATCAATGAAAATGTGTTTAAGATGATTTACCATCAATTTACTTGATTCCAAAAGCTTTCTCTTTTTAGTAAATATTCCTTAACAAATTTTATTCTTTTGTTTTTATTTTTAATACTTATAAACGGCTTCTTTCTGGCAATTCTTTCGTGATAATTGAATTTATGTAATGTATTGCGAATAGTAGTTAAGCATACATCTTTCCCAGTGCGCGATTTTAATGATAATTTAAGGTCTTTTGCGGTTTTGAAAGGATTTTTCTTTATTTCTTTTAAATTCAAACGCTCTTTTCGATCATTTTATATTTTGCCTTGAGTTGCTCTCTTGATAATGTCTTAAATAGTAGATTGACTTATTCCAACTAAATTGACAATATCTCTAACGGTTTTACCTTCGAAATTCAATTTAATTATTAATTGCCTAATTTCGACAGTAGATTGCTTTCCATTTGGTGCTATTTTAATACTAATTATGTTACAATTATATAATTTATAATTTATATTTATCTTAATGTAAAAAACATTGTTCTGACAATTATTATTGTAGTTATGAAGTGCATATTTGTAAAATAACAGTATTTTTAGCATGAATGCTTAATTTTGTCCGATTATACGTTGAGCCCAAAAAATTGTGTTGGTTCTGTTTTTTATTTTAAATTAATAGTTATTATGAGAAATGTTTTAATTTTTTTTATAATTCAGATAGATAAGTATGTTAAGTATTAATTAAAGCAAAAAAAATCATATTTTTAGGATTTTTTTTAAAGTTTAGAGCACATTTATATCGAACAAATGCTTGTCCGATTATGCGATGGAGTCACTATATATATAAAAATTTAGCGACCACTAGGCGCAATTAATTTTCTTGTAAGCGCATTTTTTCTCATTTTTTGTAGTTTGTTTCTTCAATCAAGCTTCATTTTGAAGTTTTTAAGAAATACTTTTATTTTCTAACGCGCTTGTAATTTACGTTTATTAAAACGTTTTTAAATTATCATTGATCGGTCCATATAAAGTTTTGTGCCAGACCCAGAACTATGAATCATCGAATTTTGAAGCAAGGACTCACTCGTTTATTTTATTATAAATTTTTTTGTGTCAAAGCTACTTAAAATTCTTTTTTAGTTTTTTATACACTTTTTTAAGTATTTTTTATTTTAGATTAAAATAATTTACATTATAAATCAAAAAACTCACTTTGCACTGATATATTTAAATGTCTTACCTTCACATGATTTTAGGAAATTTAACATCTCTTGCACTGCTGGATATGGTAATATAATATTTTGCTTAGCCATGCCAGTCAACAAACCCAAAAGACAACGTTTAACATGTAACCAAGTATCAGCATATAAACGTGCACCAGAGCCACCTTCTAAGGCATGAGCAATACGCGATAAGCCAAATTCATAATTGTTTTTGGCACAGTATAAAGTCCCAACCACCAAATTGACAATACATAAATGATGATATTGTTTACCCATATTGCCTTTAAGTTCCTCAGCTTTTTCCACTTTACGCATAAGTTCCTCAGCTTCTTCATTTTGAAAAGTCATAATATAAGAAACACAAAGATTTGCCAAAACAGCTGCTGAAACGTCCATTATCTAAAGCACATCAGAACAAAATAGAAATCAATATAATAAAATAAATAATTAAAATTAACTCACATCGTCTGTGTTTTGACGCACAATCGGTTCATAAAATGCAGCAGCCTCTTTATATTTGTCACCTTGCATGAAGAGTACATGACCTGCATTTAAGCGCCAAATTGAATTCTCAGAACAAAATTCAGCACTAGAACGAAATTCACGTTCCGCACCAACGAAATCATCATCACGCCAGTAAATCCAAGCGCGTGACATTACAACAGGCAAGTAACTTTAAAAATAAATAAATGCATTAATGACTCCACTTTCAGAAATCCGGTTAATCCAGTGTACTTCATACTTACAACTCCAATGCGATCTCATAATCCTTGAGTGCATTCCTTAAAGCATTTTGATCAGTTGTGCTACGAACTTCTTGTACTTTAGCAGCTAAGCTGCGTAGTTTACCTGCCAAACTAGATGCTAAAGTACCTAATTTCTTCTCTGCCAGTTCGGAAGATGTCTGCGCTGTTATTATAGCATCCAGTAACTCATAAAGATACTTTGGAATTATAATATAGAAAGATATATAAATACAACTATTAGTTTATTGAGAGACTTTAATGATAGAGTTTACCTGTGATAGGTATTTATAGGTCAAATCGGTATGTTCAGCTAATATATCGGCTGCTGTTTCATACATTTCATGTTTACAGCAAATAAGCAATATATTAGCGAAAGTCTCTTTTGGACATGCCGGTGGTCCTAACTGCAGGAGAAATGCCAATTTACGCAAACCTGCTACTGGACCTTCTGGATCAGTTAAAGCCATGTTATGCAACGTAACTGGATCTAACTCATTTTCTGAGCGTGGTGGCAAATCAAGAAGTGAATCGCGTGCTGCTTCAACTGAATGAAATAAAATAATAAAAATATATTATAATACATTTATTTATTTTTTTTTTTTGATTGAAGAAATATTTGTATCAATTGCAGAAAATAATTAATGCAGCTCTGCGCTTCAGACACTTCCCAATTTATTGGAAAGTGGCGGAAGTACTTATGGTACACAAACAAGGAAAACCTGCTAATGAAGTTTCGTCGTATCGTCCAATTTCTTTATTACCCGTTTTATCAAAAATCTTTGAACGAATTCTTCTTAATAGAATACAGATTGTTCGCACAGAAAATCAAATAGTTCCGAGTCATCAGTTTGGGTTCCGAAAAAAGCATTATACTGTAGAACAAATACATAGAATATGCGACAAAATCGAAAGAGCACTTGAAGAACAAAAAATTTGCATTGCAATATTCCTAGACGTATCGAAAGCTTTTGATAAAGTTTGGGACAAAGGACTTGTGCATAAGATTGAACAGTGGTTTTCGAGACAAATATCCGAAATTATGTGGTCCTACTTATCTTGCCGATTCTTCAGAGTGAAATATAAAGGTGTGTACTCAACACTTGAACCAATTGAAGCCGGAGTACCGCAGTGAAGTATACTTGACCCAATTCTGTACCTAATTTACACAGCCGACTTGCAAGTCCCACTAGAAAGTGTCATTGCCACGTTTGCAGATGATACAGCGATCCTTACCACTGGAAACACCATAAACGAATCAACAGAAGCAACGCAACATTCCATTGATCAAATTATTAGTTGGACTAAAAAATGGAAAATTGAGCTCAACCAAGCGAAATCCGTCCATGTAAATTTCACAAACAAAAAAATCGACTATTTGCCGATAACTATGTGCAGTGCTCGAATACCATACTCAAACACAGCTAAATACCTTGACATGAACTTAGATGCAAAGTTGAAATGGAAAGAACATATAAAGAAAAAATGAGTTGAACTAGAATCCAAATACAAAAATTTATATTGGCTTCTTGGGAAAAAATCACCCGTCTCTCTAAACAATAAGTTAATGACATACAAGCAAGTCTTAGCTTCGGTGTTGACGTATGGAATCCAGTTATGGGGATGTGCACCAAAATCCTCTATTCAAAACTTTCAAAACAAAGTTTTAAGAAATTTAGTCAACGCTTCGTGGTTTATTAGGAATACTAACCTCCATCGGGACTTGAAGATCGAATCTGTGGCTGCAGTAAGTTCGCGGTAAAGCACTAAAAACGATTACAACAGCATCCAAACGAGACAGTCAACCATCTGTCTAATACATCTGGCCTGCTGAGGAGACTTAAACGAACAAAGCCTTCAGATATACTCCCGAATTAGTAGTGTAATAATAATTTAGATTACTACTCTATTAGCACTATGTCTTTGACAACTTCACAATTCTAATAAGTATTCTGAAATGTAACAAAACTGCTTGATAGTTCTTTGTATGAACTAGTCGTAGTCAAATGAAACATATATTTATATTATTGTACATATTGTGTTTCAAATAATAAAAATAAAAAAAATAAAAAAATTTGCAGATATTAATTTGTTTTACAAAGTTAATTAAAAAATATTAACATACCATTTCCATCTTGATATTCAATTGCTGCTTTAAGGTTCAGTGCTTGCGTAATGCCAGACAAAGATATAGTAATGGGATTGCCCACACTGCGTGCACTACCATCGGTATCTATCTGAGCACCGATACCCAACTCCGGATGATTGCGAATACCACGCTCTACAATTTCAGCTGATGATATATAAAGATGAATGTTAATTCGAAATTAATGTATGACATACTAGGTACATGCTTTTCTTAAATGTGTAACATTTTAATATAATTAAATACTTTATTATTTAAAATATTATTTTAATTATGAAGTAAAAGTATTTATATATATACAAATTATTAATAAGACTCCTTATACATTACGTGAAAGTGATATAAAGTTTTTGTTAATTAAATAAATATTCACTTAAAATTTAACACACTAAAACCTTCTTTTTAGTAATGAATGGAATGGAGAAGATTTTCAGCACTGACCCAGAAGGCAGTGTAGGAAACTTTATTCCACTAATTACGACAGAGTGTGGAGAAAAAGATGCTTAGTAAGACCAATAAATATTCACTTTTTCATTTTATAAACTTTACACCCACCAGTTATATCAAGAGCTTGAGCCTTTTCTTTTTTACGAAAATGCGTCAGAGCCAGGTTGTAGGCAACCAAAGGATTGAAACCACCTACTTGTAGTGCTGAAGTAAAACGTTGTACCGCTTGCTCATACTGGTCTGCCTGATAAAGCAAACAACCCTCATCGTTAAGCGTCTCTGCCTTACCACCTGCACGCTGATTAAGCACACTCTGTGCACCTGCAAAATCCTCGCTGGAATATAGAATAGCACTTTGCAATTGCAAGCACTGCTCCTTCAATTCTTCACTTCCATTGATTTGTTTTAGTAAACGTAAAGCTTCGTTGAAAATGCCTGCCTGATAAAGCGATTGAGCGCAATAGAATCTAAAATTATTTATTTGTAAAAGAAATAATTATATACATTTTGTTATTACTAGTGGCTTATTTATTTACTTATATTTAGGTTCTCTGGGTACCAAGTTGTACAGTTGCTCATAGCAAGTGGCGGCTTCTTCATATTTCTGTGCATGATAGTAGCAATAACCTAATGTCGAGAGCCCTGCTCTTGTATTTGCCGCTTCGCCAAAATTCAAAATACATTCTATAACATCCTCGTAACGTTTATCTTTGATCTATTTTTATATAAATAAAATATACTTACCATAGTTAATATTCTCAGTATTATAATAAATCAAAAAGTATTTACCAAATTATATATTGTGCGGGTCATATGACCTTGTCGTAAGATAATGCCCTGATGTAACATTACATGTATTATTATTACTTTATTTGTTATTACTATAATAATAATTATTACTATAATAAAATTTATACAAATTTTTCTGTTTTTTAAACAATATATACTTCACTTTTTAATTACAAAACTACAAGAAAATAATTTACGTTTTGCTGTTTGTTTATTGTTTGGCCGGTTATATCCCCTTGGAAACGGCTGTACTCGTACTAGTCAACTTGACTTATTGTTAATTAAATATTTATTCTATTTTATATGAAGACAATCATTTTATTCACAGTATTTAAAAAGTATATGAACTGTCTCCAGTTGTAAATTATGTATATCATTTTTTAAATAAATGACAGCAATATGATATATTCTGTAATCTGCATCTTGTTAAAGTTCTTTGGCATCGACTACAAAACTTGATACTAATATTACCAATCCAGAACAGTTCCAAAATTGTTCTATATAATAAAAAATTTGTTAAACTATACTTTATTATACATCACTACAAACAGTACTGATGTTGTGATAACATATCTTCTTTATAGTATTCCTTAGATATGTCATTGTTCACAAAAATAGCGTATTTTGCAGTACAATAATTTTTTTTAAAGCAGTACCATCAAAATAAGCAATATGTATGTGCAATTCGGATAATCCGATATATAGAATAATTCTTTTCATAGTGCTATACCTAAACACGGGAATGAACCGTGGGCTCCATTTTTAATATTTTTTGTTATTAAACATCGAAATGCTTTTTCATAACTATTTTTCATTAATAATAAGTCATTACCATCTATTAATGGGACGCACTGCCAATAAAACATAGTAGACTGTGTCTTTGAATAGTGTAGAGCTACAAAATTAAGGATTCTCAGAGAAGGACTCTAAAAAGTGCATATATATTTTATACATGCTCTCAGAGCAATTGCAATCAGAAAATGGATTACGAATAATATGACTTAACTTATGCGATAATGTAAGAATTTCTGCAATAATTTTAATATAATACAAATGATAACAAAGAATCAAAACAAAAATTTTTGCGTCAAATCCTGAAAGACTTTTTCTTGCCTTCTTGCGCCAGACAGACGGTTATAAGCGAGTTTGAAGAGAACAAGCACATATACAACAGCTACTTAAATAAATTATAGCCTAACTGTGGGCGCCAATCTAAAATATGTAACTGTTATACTGTATAAAATTTATTCTATATCGATTTTAAAAAATTTAAAAATGGTTACGCAGTATAAAAAAATTATATTAGAATTAATAATTTCAGTACACAATAAAAACATATTTGAATTGTAAACGATGTAATATATTTCCTATTAAAAGATGAAGTGCTGTATTTCTGGAAAAATATATTGTTTGCGAAATATTTATACACTAATTTGATTGTAAGTCCATTTATCTATAATCGATATAGTATTCCGTTTTCAGACTTGAAACATAAGCCGTAATTTTTTCTTTCAGAGTAGCAAAAAAATACTCTAAACTTACGAAAGGAAACATGTGAAGCAACAACAATGCTCTTAAAATCCTTACAGTTAGGTTTTACTAGCAAAAAAATTTGAGACTAAAGTTTTAATACGACCAAATTTAAAAATCAGTCTATTGTGAATGTTCACTTGAAATCATGAGCATTTCATTTACTAATAAATTTAAATAAATGAATTGTACACAACACAATAAAAAATATATTACAAAAATATGCAATTAACATATTTTAAAAGTGATACCAATTTGTTTTAACCAGACTTAATGCTTTTTTTTATAACTCAGAAAGAAAAAATTATGGCTATAGTTACAATATTAAATACAGCGTAAGTATTCATTCTTGTATTAACAGTAGGCCTTTTCTTTTGTAAGGGTGTCGCAATAGAACAAGTAAAATAAGCACTACTTTCGCTGGCAACTCTGGACAAAACGGAAATTTTGTTAGGCTTACATATGCAAAACACATAATAAAATGTAAATTTAAAATTTCAAAAATGAATAATAATTCTTTGCAATTATTGGTACGAAAATTTTTTTTTAATGATTCAAATATGAATTTTCATGCTTGTATTTGTTACGAACAATAATAACTCGAAATACGAAGAATTAACGAAATCATTCGTTGACAGTTAACTGAAAATTTCATATGTACTTCCAAAAATCATTCACAATAGACCACGTTTTTAATCTTGGCAACAATGCGATTTGAGCTGCTTATTAGTTAATCGGTTTCAAAAAGGTTGGACTAAATAAGCGAGCAGTGTTGTTGTTTCATATTTAGTTATTTTTAAATTAAGCGGTTGTTCTTTTGTGATTTGCTTACAAAAGAAAACGCCTACTATTAAAATCAAAATTGGTTGAATTTGGCTGTCATATGTGGTATAGCTATGTATATACCATTTGTGGTATGGTACAGTTGAGATATTAATTATAGTGTTATCGTCCAAAATATTGTATTTAAAAAAATTATTTTTTATTATTTATTCTATTTTGGCAATAAGTAACACTCTTTTCATTTAGGTATCATATTTAATCCAAATTAATTTGTTGAGCAATTAATCTTCTCAATATAATTGTTATTCAGATGAACTTGTAACAAACGTAAAAGCCTTTGTTGTTGAATTCTCAATACCTGTACATTATATGATATTAGTTCATTTTCGACAAAGCCAAAATTAGCTTTGCCAAAATTGAAAGTAATATGTTTCTTAACAAGTACTGAACTTACTATCATTAAATTATTTACACTTATATACATTGTATATAAATTGTAATTTTTCTAAAATTTAACTGATATTTAGTAACTACATGTGTTACTTTTATTACTCCTTCTATGAATGGGACTTCTACAATATTTATAAATTTAATTCTGTTGTTAGCAGCTTGACTGATTTCACTCCAGATATATTCAGGTGTATTCACCTGTTGCACCAGGCTATTAGCTACCCTGGTCGTCAACGTTATTCGGTTTCCAGTTCCGAGGCACTCTTGCGTCCTTCATTGGTGACTGATTTTACGTGACGGGTACTAAACCCTGTGCACAACCCAAATTTAAAGTCCTGGGGATGAGACTCGCCGTACGCACTATTAGTGATCAACTTATTTTCATATTCTTTTCTTGATTTACTATTCTTTACTGCACGTTTTTATCTAGTTTTAAGACTCTGTTCGGAACAAATATCTTCCGGATACCTTACCTCAAAGATTCGTCTGTCATTCATTTATAAACCAGTTTTTGCTCAATTCGCTTAGATTTTTTCTAAAGAACTTGGTTTTAGTTGATGTGATTGGAGCGCTCTACTTTAAACAGTAGTCCAAACACACTTTTTGATTTGTTTTTACTTCCATTAGATAGATGCATAAGCTATATAAGCTAAATGGGAAATAATTAAAAAAATCGTTGTACGTTTCGTAATTTAATGTGCAGGCCTTTAGTCACCATATGAGCACGGAAAGATGAGATACCTGCTAAATTCTGGTCATAGTTGTTTGTGATTGGTTAATTTGTATTTGTATTGACACACCTGACTAGATGTAGTTGAATACACTGGCGATGTATTGAAGGCATGAGCCTATCCCCATTGATAAGCTCATGAAGATGACGGAGCTTCAGTCAGCTAACTGGTGACTGAAGATCTGGACATCAAATTACAAAACGAATATCTGCATGATACTTTTAATAGTAGATAGAGTTCTGTATTTTGAGGCGATGTTCAAACGAAAAATGGCCCAATAGTAGACTACTAAATATTTTGTATGTATTTTATTTCTAGCAGTAATAATACTGTCCTAACTTGTTAATTATTATATTTAAACATACTTTAAGAACATTTTAGTTTTATTTTTTTTGCTTTTAAAGTCTCAAATAGTATTTTAGTAAATTTTAGTTTTTTTCTTTTGCTTTAAAAGTCTCAAAATATGTTTTTCATGGAATCACAATATATAAAAGCTGATTAATGAATGAATTTAACAATTTTAATGTATTGTAAATTTTTTTTATTAAATATATGTTATGAATAAATTTAATGCATACATAGAAAGAAGAACTTACAAAGAGGATTATTGTTTATTAAATAATTTTTAAATAATATTATATAAAGAAATGTAACTATAAGAGAAAAATAATGCACAAGAGGTCTTAAGTCACAGAATGAATGAAGTAATATGCGATAAAAAAACATTAAAAACTATTGTAAAAAATTTAATTAAATAAATTTAAGCTAATCTCGCGTTCGAAGGCATAAGTTAAGTGTTAATAATGTTATATAGTAATGATTATATGCAAAATACATTATTTATTTTATTTGATTTCATAGAGTTGTTAATGTTTGTTTAATAATATAATTACTATTAATTAATAATAATTAAATTAAGTTTTGGTTTTGGTTCAGCTCGTCTAACTTAAATAGTAGCGTCCTTAGATTTTGTATACATGTATGTTTGTCTATATTTGCTTTCATATGTTTGGAGTTTTCAAAAATTTGATGAAACTACGAACGTACACATACATTTTATAAAAAATTATTTCATCTTCTATTATACCATTGTGCGAATTGAAATTTAAACTCTGGTTCTTTGTCTACCAGAAGCCGGAAGATTTGCCACCTGGTGGATTTCGTACTTTAATACAAGCGCGATTACCAGATTTATCCAGTTCCTCTGCAAATTTAAATACATAAAAATAGATCAATGTGAAATTTTTCTTATGTTTTCGGAGGGACAACACCTACCGCTAATGGAAAACGTCGATTCCTGTTGATTGCGTGTGCTCTCTACACGCGCACGACCTGATGGTGTGCTAGCCAAAGAACCTTCACTTGGCATTGCTACATTACCGGCCATTAGAGCACGCGATATAGGTTCTTGGTATGGTATTTCAATTTCTAACGCAGCCAAATTTACTTTCTTTAAACCACCATTAAGCTGCTCTTCATGATCCTCACCATTACGATCGTCGCCCTTTAACGATACTTTTCCTTCGAGTACATCATACACATATGGTGGTCTTATAGGTGTATTCAGAAAACGTCCATAGCCTTCTGCAACACGCACAACACCATTCTCTACGCAAATACGTCCGCGTACCAACACCATTTCAGGTACCCCATGACATGTCATGCCTTCAAATATATTAAAATCGCATGCATGGTGATGAGTATCTTTTGAAATAGTACGTGTTGCATTTGGATTCCAAATAACTATATCTGCATCAGAACCAACTGCGATGCGTCCTTTCTGTGGATATAAATTAAATATCTTCGCAGCATTTGTACTAGTGACTGCAACAAATCTGCATGGATCTAAAAGTCCTGCATGTACACCCTTCTCCCATACTACAGACATACGATCTTCGACACCATTGACACCGTTTGGTATTTTTGTAAAATCACCTTTGCCGAGTGACTTTTGATCCTTATTGAAAGTACAATTATCACTGCCGGTAGTTTGCAGATCATCACTATTTTGGGAAAGAGAGCACAATGTTAAAAAATAAAGTAATTTATTATTTGTCGAGTAATTGATATTAGAAGTAATTAAAAACAAATAAACACAAAAGTTAAATGTTATAACTTATGACTGATTTGTTTTAAATAATAAGATTCATTGCTTATCAAATAACGGTGCTGTTATCAACAATATTAAGTCCAATTTTTTTAGGAAACATTTGCAAATCTAATGCTGAGTTAACAATCGCAAAAAGCAACCGCACTATAGTAACATCCATAGTTCCACAAAATTTAATCAGCTAAAGTTTTGCGACAATCGGGAATGTTTTAGTCGTTTACATGGGGTCTAAATGTAGTCTAAATTGCTTCTTTGATATGGGAGCTTTGTGAAACAAAAAGAAATGAATACACCAGGCAATATGAAGACTCTGTACCATCATATGGAATAATACAAAAGTAATTTACCAAGCTTCGTGGTGGTAGAAGTATAAGCAGCAAGAAAGTTAAGGAGATAGATATCCTTAATAAGAATATGGAAGAAAAAATATTAAATCAATTAATAAAAGATCGTCAAATAAAAGTGCGTAAAATTCGTAGTTAAAATTGAGTGTGAATCTGTTTATAACTGTTTGTAAGAGTAATTACATATTAGAAATTTATGCCAATGTTGATGACGCACTTAGTAACAGTGGATTAAAACGCGCAAATTTAAGCACTTTCAAGCAATGTATGCAAGTTTTTTAGCGTAATCCCATTTCTAAAACGATTTCGGAGTAAACTGTATAATAGACATGTATACACCATTATACTTATACATCTGATATACATGCTCCAAGAAAGATGAGTACAGTTCAGCAAGAAAGAGTTTGATCTTTATTTTTTGAACTATAAATAGGTTCCTCAAAAAATGCAGAACGTTAACAGAGCAGTATTATGCTAAGCCTTCAGAATGCTTTTTAACTGGAACTAAGCCAAAGAGACCATGTGACGTTTTATAAGCTCTGGCATATGGCTTTTTTTATTCGTGTTTATGTTGAGATTGTTTATTTTCTATTAAAATCTTTTGCCTTACTTTACTAGGACTATGCTCGTTAATCCAAACTCTTCAGCAACTCTTTGGGGTTCACTATAATCTCCACTAAATCACTGAAATTTTCTATACTCGCTAGTCCCTATTTACAAACTATATTTTTAGTAAAAAAAAAGTAAACAAAAAAATATTCTAGCCTGCTTCTTTTTTTTAAATGCATTTTACGTATTTGATAAGCAAAGAATTATTTTATCATTTAAAATATAATGTAAACCAAGCAAATTTTCCCAGTTATGTCTCCCAGCAATGAAAATGATGAAATATTTTAGTAAAAACATAAAACACAACTTACTATGCCAATGATTTCATTAATTGTCTTGGTGTCTCAGCAGATTCGCGTATTGGTGGACTGGTAGTATATAAAACCTGATCCTGCTTTCGAACACCATTCATAGAACGTCCAATAGAACTTGCTAAAGTCTCACCAAAGACACAATAACCACTGCGTCTGGCACGACCGATTATTTCAGCGGATGATTTGCATGTGATGCTTGTTACATAAAGCGGAACTTTCATCTGTTTTATAGATGAAGTAGTATGTATGTAAGCGTTAGGTGAACAATGTTAAAAATACATATTATGGATAAGATCTTAATATATATTTTTTGCGTAAAAATAAATGAAAAAATAATAATTTAATAACATACATTTAACTTAAAAAATTATGAAAGTAATACAAACAAGCAAATATTAGTTGATGTATAGTTATTGTTAGTCTAATGAATTATTGTAGAACAATGCATTGACTTATGAAGTATGAAGTATGTGCAGTATTAAATAAGAATGGAACAACGATTCAAAAAAAAAAAACACTAAACAATTAACAGTTTTTGATGGAATTTTATAAGCAATTATAGAATATATCAAATTTATTAAAGGAATCAAGACGTTCTTGTTCAAAAACTGTTCTTTGTTTTAATGCACTGTGTATAAACAATTATAGTTTGATTTAAGTAGGCAGCTGGATATCGATTGCGCAAAATGGTTAAAAAGAGAGAGATATTAATTTTGTATCGATACAATTTTGTATTGACCTTTTAATGAGTAAAAACAAAATTTGGTTGAAGGTATTGCGCAGTACGATCAAAATCTACCCTACCCTTCAAATCATAATCTGTTAATGTTTCCCACTATATACAAAAAACATATCACATCACCCATAACTGTGGACAAACTTACTTTGCCAACAATTTCATCATAAATTCAGGTGTTGTCGAGTCGGGACGTAAAGGTGGACTTAATATATGCGCTGCGGCGTGATGGAAACATTCATGCTGATAATGTGTACCATCGGTGCCCAACGCTGCTGCAAGGGTTTCACCAAAAATACCTCGATTTCTGTAACGTTTACGTGCACGTGCCAATTCAATACCCGCCGATTTGCTCATAACATGTACTACATATAGTGGGCAATCAACCTGTACATGTATTTGTGTGTGTGTATATATATCGAGTGCGTTTATATAAGTGTTTTGTATTTCGTTGATTAATATATCGACGTACGAGTATGATATATTTACAGTTTGGATAGTAAATAAAAAAAATTGCACAATAAAACAAACAAAATAAAATAAACATAAATAAATTATAAGAACTTATACATATATATATATAAATTATAATATTATATATATTAGAGAAGTTGATATTTATGCTATAAAATGATTTAAAAAGTTTTTAAGTTTGTGGGTATCTCCAAAAGATCTAGCAAAATATCGAAAACATAGTATACCTCTAAAACAAGAATTAATTACAATTATCGAAAAGAGTTATTATCGCCTATTCTGGCTATTAAACTAAACTTACTAGTCATTACTAAGTCTAAGTTTTTGAAAAATAATAGGAACTTTTTACCGATGAATATATTTTCACAAAAGTTGTGTTTATTTATGTTATGTAAGTTTGTGTAATTTTGTCATCTTCACGTTGTTAGTGCAGTTAGGTTGCACTTTTGCTATTGTTTATTATGATCCAGAGAGAAATAAAAAGTTTAATTTACAATTGACTATAAGCTCACTTTTTAATGAGGACATTTTCAATGTCTGATTTAATTACATTATTAAATACAGTGTTAAAGTTTTAATACATTGATTAAACATTTTTTGTTACTATCACAAGTGTGAGGATGAAACTCATTTGAATAACTCATTTGAACACAGATCGTTTCGTGATTAAAATGTATGGTGGTCATTGGTGAAGGAAATATAAAGTACATATTTTTGTAACAAATTTGATTTTATGAAAAACCTAATTTTTGACTTTTGAAGTTGATAAGTAGATCTGCTATATTACAAAAGTTGTATAATAAATCTTTAAGATGCTGCCTCAATGAATGTGTAACCTATTGCTTTAATACCATTGTATCTAATAAAATGAGGTCATTCTGTATTAAATTAAGATAATTAAGATACTGTTTTTTCACTTAATATCTAACTAGAAGAGATTCTAAATTTTATTTAATATCTTTGAAGTCAAGTATTGTCGTATAATAATAGTTTATGTTTATTAAGCAGGTTTTGATATTTACAAGGTATATCCGCTTATAAAATAAAATACAAAACATAATTCTCAAAGTGTAAAATCTTAAATGCCAAGCTATTGATATGTACACAAGTTCAGATTATAAAAATGCTATACCAAAACCAAAAATACTAGATCGCATAATTATATTTAAAAAAAGAAAACAAAAACAAAAATTTTAAATCAAATAAATAAAAAATATTCTAATTTCTTATTCTAGTTCTTAACATATACCATAACTTTAGGATAATCTCTTATATCATTGATTTCATATTTATATATATATTATTACTGCCTTCGATTTGCTACACCTATAATGGCATGAGAATAAAACAACATCTAAATGGTATTATCTTTAACTGTAGCAAATGCTTGATATATAATTTCTTTTGTAATTAAAATAGTGTTCACACAAGGAGCTAAACCAATATAATATCATATCTTAGTAATTAGCTATGATGACTTGGATGTTATTATTCGTAACCGAAATAAAAGTCGCCTAGCTAAGATGGTTAGCATATCGAACGCGATAATATTTTAATATGAAATAATAAATTATATTTATATAATAAAATCATATATGAAATCTTAACTGTTCACATAAATTGAGACATATTTGAAACTCACTTGATGTGCCAAAATGCAAGCACGGTTCACAGCTTCCGCCTCAACTTCTTCCTGCCGTGACAATTCATGACCTTCTGGTCCAGTTATGCCAGCTGCCAACAATTTACCAACATTTTTGGCAATCACGTCACCATTTTCTGCATGTACCTAATTAGCATAAAAAACCGCAATGCAATCAATTTGCAGTTAAAAATAAATAAAATTTTACAAATACCTGTGCGACACCGCCTAACGAGCGAATACGTTCGAATGCATCCAAGAGTTCAGTGTCATTTAATTGATATAAGCCTTTGTAGGCCATAAACATTTTAAATGAGTTGATACCTAGTTCTTCGCACATTATTCTCATTTCATCGGCCACTGATTTAGACCACCAAGTAATGCCAACATGAAAAGCATAATCACAACAAACTTTTGGGTCTGCCCAAGCACGCCATTTGTCATAAGCTTCAACGAGTGATTCACCTTTATCAGGTAGCACAAAATCAACTAGAAAATAGAATGGAGTATAAGTAATTATTTCAATTGATTATAGGCACTATGTACTTACTGATGGTGGTGGTACCACCAGCAATGGCAGCTTTTGTGCCATGATAGAAATCATCTACAGCAACTGTGCCACCAAACTTCAATTGCATATGTGTATGTGGATCTATGCCTCCGGGTATTATCAATCTGCCCCCTGCATCAATTACTCGTACACCACCAGGTATTACAATATCAGAAGATGAACCAACAAATCTTTGAAATAGAAATATAAAAAATTTTATAAAATATAGTGATCATTATAAATAAATAATATAGAAACTAATTTTAATCAGTTTCCCTAGATTACTGTACGAAATCATAAACAGGTTTTTTGAACAGTAGTGAACTACAACAATAAAAATTCATTTTATATTATTTTAATTAATTGAATTTTTGACTGACCATACGACTGTTTCGAGTATTGCCAAATATGCATTCTCGGTGGTCTTGGAAATAATTCTTGTATTTAATTATTGGTAAATAAATTTTTTTGAAACTGCAAGTACCAGGAATAGAACTCATGTTCTGCCAAATTATGTCAAGTTATAAAAAACAAGAAACGCACGTAAATAAAACATTTACGATAATTACTACTTAAAAAAAACTATAACTATTAAAAAACTATTACGAGCATTACAAAATAAATTGAACAATTGACAAAATATTATTCTATTAATAATCACACTTTTTTCTCACCCACACTACATACCCGTAGCAGTCATCTGGGACTATTATATTTACTTCTTGGCGTATACAGAAACCCATTAAAAAGGACGTTTTCAAAAATCATTTAAAGTTTATATTTAATATTCAATTTAAAAAGTGAACTAGTATATTTACTGTAATATGGCTCCAAATATTTTGTTTGGGTAGCTTGAATTCCAAACCCTTTTACTCCCCTTGTATACACCATTGTACTTACTGAAACTACAAGTCCGATCGAAACCGAAACATTTGTCAATATTAAAAACATCTTGTCTGCAGTTAATTATTGTAGTTACTGATATTATATATATTAAGTACAGCTTGTAAAAAGTGAATAAGACTACAAGTATCCGTTTTTTTTTTTGAAGGATTTTGATTTTTTAAAATTTAATCTAAATTATATTATTCCTTTTGTTATGTGTCTTTGATATAATTAACTGTTTTAGATCATGGTTTCTAATTTCATAATCTGCCTGTGATCATTAAAAACTAATTTCAGTACATGATTTTGATTTGAAAATTTGTCTTAAATTATAAAGAATATTTTTTTAATAGTAGTGAATTATTTAATTCAACTTTTGTCTGACATGGCAGCTGTTTCGAGTATTCTCAAATAAGCTATCATTTGTGACCTGTTGGAAATATTTCATATATATAATTATTTTTAAATAATTTTGTAGAAGCTCAGAGTCAGTGTTGCTTAACCAAGGGACTCAAAGCCGTAATTGATTTATATTATTGTGACCTGAAATTTTGTGATTTACTGTGAAAGTTCTTCTGAAATTATGTTTTTACTTTTGTTATATATCTATCATGATATTTACCATATCTTAAACAGGGTTTCTAATTTAACATTGGTTTACATAAATATATTAATAATTAATTGTTTTAATGACCAAATATTTTTAATAATAATTTTGATTTTTTAACGTTCAGTAGTAATTGTTCAGTAGTTAATACACTTTTTTAAAAAATTGTTTTTGTTTTTTAAAAAATTTTATTTAAACAATAGTCTATAGTGATCATCATCAGTATATAGTATCCTGATGATGACTATAGATTATAGTCGAAATATCGGATTAAATAATATTTTTTTAAAAACCAAAAACAATTTTTTAAAACTGTTTATTATTTAACTACTGACCAATTACCTTGTTAAAAAACAAAATTATTATAAATATATTAATGCATTATACGTTCACATGGAATTGAAGTCAACTATCAATCAAATCTCAAAACTACTATGATCACTAATTCTATGTTTTTAATACAAAATATAAAAAAGTATATAAGTATACATATATCTTTATTTTTTCTTTCTAAACTTATGAACATGGTTATTACATTTAATAATTCTATATACATATATATACATAATTACTATCATATATTAAATCACTATCATTTTCCATAAGTTAAATCTCAAAACTACTATGATCACTAATTCTATGTTTTTAATATAAAATATAAAAAAGTATATAAGTATACATATATCTTTATTTTTTTTTTTCTAAACTTATGAACATAGTTATTATATTTAATAATTCTATATACATATATATACATAATTACTATCATATATTAAATCACTATCATTTTCCATAAGTTTAAAAAGAATTATTGTTTTATGGCTTGCTTAATATACACATCTTATTTCTATGTACGTCTACATAGGTATAGAGTTTTCATATATAAAGTAATTTTCGTTACTCAAGATAAAAGTTTTCATAAGTTAAGTGTTTCAAAACTGATGAACCTTACTGAGTCTAGTCACTGATGAACCTTACTTATTAGACTTATAATTTAATTGAATAAGATAATGTGTAAAGTGTTTTATAACCAATATACTCACTTTATTGTTCCATCCTCAATGTAAATGTCAGCCTTAAAGGTCCTATCGTGATTAACTATTTGTCCATTTTTAATGTAGACCCTATTTTGAGCGCTCTGCGAAAAATCAATTTATTATATATATTTCAACAAAAATCCTTGTATTTACCTGCAAATGTATTGGAACCTTTTTTACTGGTTTTGGACTGGTCGACATTTTCTGTAAATAGACTAAAAATGTGATTGAAAATTAATAAAAATATATTGACGTAGGTTATTAATATAGGTCACAGATTATAAGTACTAATAGTACAAAAATTAGTGGCGTTATAAATTATAATTTGAAATATTACGAAATAATTGACTATTTTCAAGTACAGCACCACATGAAGTTTATGATAAGCAATGAACTATGAAAACATTTCATTTATTTAAAATTAAACGTTTCTATTTGTTTATAAAATAAATGTATATATACATTGTATATATTTAGACAATAAATTAAATATATATTCTGAAGTAGTAAATGGTTTTAAAGATATGCGTACAGGTTGTTGTCTTTGACTTTAAGAAAAAATTGACTGTTGCCCATACATTGTTTATGATTTTAATCTGGCAAACAATATTGATAAGATAATATTTTGTGCAAATATCTGTAAAAGTTTGTATAGATAATTTATACATTATGTTAAAATATACACTATCTCAGATACCGAACCTCAAACGTACAGAACACTTTATGTTTTTATAAGAGGAACAATCGTATTCAATAGAGCGATAATTTACTTCATATTCGTATGAAAAGGCGTGTTTATTATTCGAATACTTGAAGTATTCTTAAAATGGGTAAATGTCATAAATTATTGCCTAAAAATTTAAATTTTTGTGATCTAATATAAATAAATAATATACTGAACTAATTATGATAATTGCATTAAAGTGTACACTTAAAAGTTCTTAAAAGCCTATTAAAGTTTTAAAGGAAAGTGAATGGGGTTTTCCAACATTTAAAACATGATTTGGTAATTGCTTACATTAACTACTAAAACAGAATGTTTCGATACAATACTCGACTCTGTTTAATAATATATATCCCCTAAAAAATAAAAGCTTATAAATTCATTGTTTTGTTGGATGAAGTCTCTGAGTCTGAGATATTATTTTGAGATTTACGAGTAGTTAGTAGTCACTAAAAGCCTTGCAAATTCAGTGACTGGGGACGCCATTCAAAGTTTAATTTATGCATTTAACTATAATAAATATAACTAACTATATAATATAATGCATTGTGATCTTGGTAACAGACCAACTTTTTTCGCTATGGGACATTATTTTCTTAATAGATGCATCTTCAAAAACATCAATGACCGACTATAATCTTCGCAGTTAGACTATTTGTTGGTTTTCGATATCTTCTTTATTTAAAATACACTCCACAAATTTACAACTGTTAAAGATATGCAAATTGAAAATGTCTTGATAGAACTGTAGAGACCATTTTGTGATGACTCATAAATAAAAATTTTTGATTTTATGCTTGGGGTTGTTTCCGCTTATTTGTAGAAACAACCCCAAACTTTTTAAACATAGACAAGTTAATGAAAATTGTGCTGGAATGTATGTCTATTTAATACAGAAATACATGAGTCACTAAATACTCAAAGCTGGAGTAATTACATTAACTGATTGTATAAATGGGTTGAACACCCTTAAAAGCACAACAAGTACAAATAATTTACAATAAATTCATCTATACAACCAATTGATAATGCTAGTATGTATAATATTTATCATTATAACTTAAGATTTGACAATAAAAATTTGCTATGATTTTCATTACTCAATTACTTAAACCAAAATTACATTTTAAACAGAATTACTTAATTACGATAATAAAAATATAGAATGACAAATAGTACTGACGTGGCATTATAAAAACTACTATACTTATATGTGCGAGTATGTATGAATTATTTTAAGAGTATTGTATGGATGAACTTATCATTTAAAATAATACACATATAAAGACATATAAATAATACATTACTGTATATTAACTTTAGCCAGGCACAAAACGTTTTTAAAGTGGTTTGAAAGAGTTGGCTAACAGATATATTTTCTATAGCTGTGATGTAGTATTGATAAAAATATTGATAAATTGATTAACCCGTTCATACAGCAATAAAGCATCGTTAAATTTTTTAGCAAAAAAAAAACATGTATCAAGAAATTAAACTTTTTATAATTTCAATCTGGATCTATATACGCCAGTTGAATGACGCAGCAGGAATGTTTATGTTTCAAAAA